ACACTACGCCAAAAACATTATCAGACGACTGTTGATTAACTACTGTTTATGGAAACACAGTAGTTAAAAAAACACAGACTACTGTGAGTTTTTCTTGGCTACAGAACAGTAGTCTAGCTACTATGCTTTAAAACTGTTTTTAAAGTTTCGAGAAACGGTAATATATCACTAGTTGTCTGTGTCAGTTCAAAATACAGTTTTTGTTGCAACAGTTGTCAATAACAAAATAAGAATACTCTATTTAAACAGTAGTATGATGTTTTAGTCTAGAACTATTTTTAAACTTATTAGAAACAGTTATCTATTGCTAGTTGTCTGTTTCATATGACTTTTTTTCCACCGTTGTTTCTAATGGAAATAAAAGACTCTTTTGTAACAGTTGTCTATGAATTAAGGGTAGAACTATTTTTAAACTTGTCAGAAACGGTAATCTTTTATTAGTAGTCCATTGCACCTAAAAATACAGTTTTTGTTACCACAGTTGTCAATAATTAGTTAAGACTACTATTTCTAAAAGTAGTCCGGTTTTCAGTTTATAACTGTTTTTAAACTTATAAAAAATAGTATTATATTGTTAGTTGTATGTTTCATATGGTTTTATTTTTCATAGTTGTTTATTATAAGAATAGAAGACTCCCTTGTAACAGTAATATATTTATATAGCGTTGAACTATTTTTAAAATTCATAGAAACCGTAATCTATTACAAGTTATTAATAATAAATTAAGAATACCCTTTTTAAATAGTAGTTAGACTATTAATCCTAGAACTATTTTCAAAGTTTTGAGAAACTGTAATGTATTACTAGTAGTGTGTGTCACACCGTTTTTTTCACGGTTATCTATAATAAGTAAAGAAAACTATTTTTAAGAGAATTATGCGTATTAAGCCTAGAACTATTTTAAAAGTTAAGAATATTCAAACTTTACTTTCATACTTTCGGACAATATATGTACAATAATCAAATAAACATTGTTTCAAACAATTATATGGATATGAAAAAATAAACACTTCCATTGAAACGAAAGAAAAAGCCTTCATGTGCATGCAACCGTTGGGAAAGCTTTCATGTTTACACAGCGGATAAATATCCGTTGAGTAAAGTTTGCACATCGGATATATTATCCGATGTGTATTCCTTCAAAAATCTAAATAAAAACTATACATACACACACACACACACACACACGGATATATATATATATATATATAGATAGATTTATTTATTTATGAAAGTATTTTTATTAAATGAAATATGAAATAGAGAAACAAGTACAATAGGGGAGGACCAAACCAAAGCCCCTAGAGAAAAGCTAAAAACTATTCCCTACATCAAAAACATTGCCCAAATAAAAACCAAAACCAAGGGCTACATATCATAGTCGAACCTAGATAAACATACACCAAAGCTGGTAAAATAAAATTGAAACCAAACCCAAGAATTGATAACCAACAACCATATTTAGAAGCTAAATTCTAGGATAACCAACTGAGCTTGTGTGTGATAAACTGCATCATGAACCTGCTGGTGTTTGTAGCCTTGTTCTTCACTGCCTTCCTTGCATTGCTTCGGTTAGGACTGCCCAGGTTGTACTGGTTTGTCCATGGAGCTGTAATGGTTAAGTGCTGATGAATAGGACACAACCCATAGAATGATCCCCCCAAACAATAGAAGTTTCCCAAGTAATTTCAAGATAAAGTAAAACCTGTAAATTGGAGGTAGTAGAGATTGGGGTTGTGATGTTGGCTTCACACGGCGGCTGAGGCAGGCATATGCACCGTCGATAAGTGGGATGGACCGGGATCGTGGTACTCTATGAAGATCGGAAGACCACTGCCCGGTGTCGAGGCATCGACGAAGAAGATAAGAACGACGACTCAAAGGAACGGCGAAGTGGCGAGAGATAGGTTTTTTTTTGCGGAAAATGAAAATATTAGGCGGGCAATGAAAAATCTGGAGGGATTCTAAAATTTGAGATGAAGCCTTAAATTTTTAAGAATATTAACTAGATCTGATTGACAAGTATAGATTTGGAGGTAAACTTTAAGAATATTAAAATTGTATAGAAAATTGACAAGTAATTTGATTTTTTTGAAGACTATATCTGATATTATTGGATTTGGATTTGATTTGATCCGATTAGATCTATTTTGGTCTGATTCAATCTAATTAGATTCGATTTGAAATTGATTTTTTTAATATTTGATCAGATCTTACTAGATATGAATTTGATTTGATATTTTTGAAGATTATATCTGATCTTATTAAATTTGAATTTGATTTAATTTGATCTGTTTTGGTCTAATTCGATCTAATTTAATCTGATCTTATGCATTTATAGATTAAATCAGGCAATCAAGACACGACCTATATAATTAATTTGTTTTTTTTTTGAAGATTTGATCTGATCTTAATAGATTTGAATTTGATTTGATCTGATCAAATCTATTTTGGTCTGATTCAATCTAATTAGATTTGATATGATGTATTTAAAGATTAGATCAAGCAAATATGACACGACCTATACAATTAAATTGATTTTTCTTAATATTTGATCTGATCTTACTAGATCTGGATTTGATTTGATTCAATATTTTTGAAGATTAGATCTGATCTTATTGGAGTTGACTTTGATTCATTTTGATTAGATCGGTTTTTGTCTGATTGAATCTAAATAGTCCGATTAGTTATGTTAAAAACTCTTTTAATTTGATCTAGTCTAATCTGATATGATGAGATATGATTTCAATAAATATCATCTAAACAACATATACACATGTTAAGTCGAGATGGGGTGGCTCACATGAAATATGCAAGCAATAAGATCTGATTGAATTTGATTTGATCTTATCTTATCTGATTAGATCTAATATGCTTGATCTGATTCTAGTTATATTTAAAAACTCTTTCTAATTTGATCTGGTTTATTCTGATTAGATCTGTTTTTGTCTGATTTGATCTAATTAGTCCGATTAGTTATGTTAAAAACTCTTT